CCCGGCATCTTGCAAAACCTTTCCCGCGTCTCCCAACAAAAGAAATAACCCACTTAAGCAACCTATTTCCGGAGCCTGTTTCCGGAGCGTGCGCCAGCCAGACCCAAAACCAGGTCAGGCTCGCCCCGGAGCCCCTCCGCCGGGGCACCAGCGCTAGAAAGCAATGACAACAAAAATGTGCATAGACTGTCCGTTACAATAGTAATGGGACTAAACCTGTGAAATTATGAGTCGGCTCTGTGAAAACGTGTCTCGGACGCTGAATTCACTATTCAAAGCACGATTCAGCATCTTTTGATTTGAAATCGAGATTCTAGAATGTTGATTTTCTCGAGATATACACAGCTGAAACTGAACTGAAACTTCATCAGGTCAGTTGTTCAACAACCTTTTTAATTTTTTAGATTTGAGCACTTTCGTTGCTTCAAACGAACAAAATGCACACATTACAAATGATGGACTGTACCTCTAAACGTGTCACCAAATCATTCCAAAGCTGCACCAAAAACTCAACATATTTAGAGGGAACAGTGTCTTCACTTCAATTGCTGTCTTTAACAAACATCCTTCGTTGGCAAGTCCTTAGTTTAAAAACTGAATCGGCCAAAGATCCACCCGTTTTTCGAAACGACTTTGTGCCAAACGATGTTTTAGCTTCTTTTGACATACAGGAAGAGTCAATGGAATTAACCATTGAATATAACAATATAAGATATCAAGGGCGGATCGGGGGGGGGGGGCAAAGGGGGCCTGCCCCCCCCCCAAAAAAGGAAACAATATTGTTTTACTTTTTTTATGTGACGTCGCAATAAAGGCAGGCAATGAGTACACCACCATCTTTTCCCCCGAAAGACATTGGTTAAAGTGGTCAGAGATTGCCTCAGATTGCACCACAGAGCATCAAGGATCCAAACTGTTTGGGGGCCCTTAACCGGGTCCCAAACCCAACGCCGTAATTTGTTTGACCCACTTTTTGGGGGACCAAACAAATGTGGTCCCCCAAAAATTGTGTTTTAAATCCGCCCTTGCAAGTTATGAATACGATAATGTTCGTTCCGTTAATTGTAAGTCACCACAAAAGTGTAATTCACAAAAGACGTCTAAAAGAGACCGTTTGGGGTCGTTTCAGTTGTCAGATAAAAAAATCATAGCTTTGTCAAATCCCAATTTATCTAAAATGTTGTTCTTTTCCGTCCCATCCACATTCAGTGGGTTACATTGGTGAAATCCAATGCCATTTAACTGCTGTTTTTATTTCTTGAGAGAGTTAAGAATACTTTGTCAGTTTATGTTTATTCTCACACCTTGTTTATATCCTTTTATTACAGATCGGGTATCCAGGCGACACAGCCACCGGTAAGTGTATACGGCCCACCCATAACTTCAGAAAGCTTAAGGCCGTTTCATGCTTTCGCAAAAGTTGGCGGATACGCTCTCATTTTTAGTAGCATTCATAATAATTTTATGATGCAGCAGAACTTCTCAGATTGGTAGGTTCGGTGGAAAGTATTCAATACTATATAACCATCAACTGTGATGACTTTTCAGGATGGCAAGGGCAACCATTAATGCATTGGCTCTCTCTCTTGTTGAACAATTTTTGAAAGCATTAGAGTTTTAAGTCTAAAAATGTTCCCTCATCTGCTTCATTTCATTTACTCATGTCCCTGCTGGGTCAGATCGACAATCAAATTTGCTCTACCCTTTTCCGGGTCAAAACGAGAGTATTTTGGTCAAAATGACCTGCACAACTGTCATTGCTGACCCAGAAGCAGGCCGTTTACTACCCGAGAAAGCGTAAAGCAAATTTGGATTTCGACGCAGGGTAAGTAAGACCCCGCAGTTTGCGTGTACATGCCAAAGAAGAAAAAAAATCCATATTTTTTGACAGTTTGAAGCTCTTGAACATGTCTGAAGAGAAGTCGATAGCCCGCATGGAACTCAGCAGGATGGTACATAAACAAACATTCATGGTGAATGTGAACACAATCCTTCAGTGTGCATTTTGGGGAACTGTGTGAACAATGGGTGAACACAATCACCTTTCAATGTGGCTACAGAAATAAAACATTATGTTACCTACATCGACATTTTTTTCGGCACAGCTCAAAGACCTTGAAAAAGTCTAAAGAGAAGCCGACAGACGTACTTGTTTGCACCCACCGCCACAAAAGGGAGCCTAACAAAATATGGACTTCCTGTTTTCATAGCGTCACGACTTAGCCTCATGACAGGATGCTTGATGGCCTTGTGAAAACATCGGCTAGACTTGAAAAGCCTTGTGGTATAAACTGAGAGCTCATCTATACAAGTTGGCCTGGGTGTGGGGTATGCCTCAGAAATTGTGGGGCAAAAGTTCAACCAGAGCTGTTTGGCTTTGTTTGAATCGGGAAGTTGCTGGAGTATGAACATTTTTGACGAAAGAAGAATGACGCAGTTATTAAATACAATTAAAAAACACCTACTAACAAAGTAAGTATCGTCGCACGTCGCGGAACAAATGACACTTTTCACCGTTGAACGACAATGTCGGATCATGGCAGATACGGCCACAAACGATTGTCAGTTATTTGTTTGTTTAACTAAATCAGAAATGGAGTAAAGACATTTTTTTTCCAGAGATGCAATCGATTCTCTTTACAGGTTCCTTAACTATACAGTTTTGGTTTCTGTCAAAAAAACCCAAAGATTTGTTTCAAATATATAGACCCTAAGGTTTACTGAAATTCAACACAACCAATGAATGTTGTTGGGTCAAAATCATGGACATTACCCTGATATTTTTTATTTTCACAATACATCCTTTAAAAAAAGATTTGTTGTTTAAACAAAAATATCGTATTTTTCATTTCATACAGGTTGACGAATTACAGGACATAATGGTGAGGGTACAATTCATCAACTTTCCCTTCTGTGATGTATGCCTACTGTGAAATATGGCTTATTTTTTCATTGTGATGTTTCGCCTGGATCGGGCGTACTAATTGGCGGATATATGTTTGAACAACGTAGTGGTAATTTGTGCACCACTTTGCCTGGTAATGTCGATAAACTAGTGAACCGATGAAATACATTGCTAGGGGTGCAGGCTACCCCTTGTTTCTGATTTTTTTAAGCAATTATTAGTGAATTAGTGGGGAAGGATATTGTAGTAATTTCTTTTTACTCAATTGTTTCATTGATTGCAAGTTACCCCCCAAAAAAATCACAAAAATGTATAGGATTGTCCAATTCAGAATTATCTAAAGAAGTGTTCTCACTTTAAATTGTCTTTTCCGAAGGTATTCGAATACGTTTTTTCTGAACGTTTTGTTTCGAAGATATCGAATTTCAGGTTCACTTAGATTCATCGCAACCACAGATTGAGTGAAAGTCTCATTAAAATTCAAACTATTGGTATTGAGTCAAAGTGATGGAGATTGCCTTAGTATTTTTATTCACACAACGGCTCCGTTAGGATGTTAAATTCTAAACAAATATTCCCTCGTCTGTTTTATTTCGTACAGGATAGAGAATCAGATGAAGAAGTAAGGGAACAACTCGTCTACTTTCCCAACTTTGGTGTATTCAAGTATGGTTTACTGTTTTAATGTGATGTTTCGCCTCCGGCGCCATATTCGGCAGATAATGTTGTCACAACATAGTAGTAATTCAAGAAGCGTCACACTGCCTGGAAATTGTTGGCTCGCTATAAAGTTTGTATACTGTGAAATTTCATTTTAGGATAGCTGCAAGTTTTTTGACTTATTAATAATAATAATGATAATTATAATGCGCAAATGCATAAAAAACTATTCAAAATTCAATAAAAACAATACAAATTACATATATAATTGAAACCGTATGATATATATATTTTTTTTAATGCATGCTTTAAATCAAATCCTTCTTTCGCATTGAACGAAAATGTATTTAGACCTTTGCATGAATTCCTTTTGAAGCAGAATTTCTCTTTGTCTGGACGTGACACGGTTTTTCAATGTAAATTGCCAGTACGTTAACGCGGCATGTATCCACAGAATTTTTCTTTGTGAGCAATTATGGAACGCGCTTATCAATTCGGCTTTTGCACTGTCGAACTTAAACTTGTAACCAAAAAAAAATACATGCCCAAACAAAACGATGTATTTACACGGAAAATGGGTTTATTTAAATTTCTTTTGATAAAAAAAATTGAATCATTCATTTTTATTTACTTATTACATTTTACCCAGGGTACGCACAAGCAATTTAAAGCTGGATTTCATTTGGGCCCTGCAAACATTACAAATTACTACACACACATACAGTGACAAATACGATACAGTAGGCCTACAGTGAAATCAAAGCACATACAAATCGTAAATGGTAAACCTATGACTGTGATTCAACTACGTTATAGCAATGCGGTTGTAAAAGGCGATTTCTAAACTTTACGTAACACTTTATTTTGAATGAAACTACATGTACACAGACTTGTTCACACGTACAGGGTTGCGAAATCTTTGAAACTTAATTTCTCCCGTTTGCAAGACCATATCTTCATGCAACTTTCAGGGTTTATTTCCCTTATATAATGATCCAATTATGCGCTACAAATCGTTGCGATATGTTTTTTGCTTTTCATTGAAATTTGAAAAAAAAAATTGGCCTGGCTACGCGCATTTGTGAAAGTTGTAACACGAGCATTTGCAATGTCTGCCTATCTTTTTAAGCCCCCAAAATATTGATAAGGTTCCCATCCATTATGGTGTATCGAATTTAAGGTTATTTGAATTCTTACCAACATTAAAACCAACGTCGTTGAGTCAAAATGATCGAAATTGTATCCCATTGAGTATGACTACCGTAATGTGCAGATATAGGCAGCAGAGTACCATAGATGAAGTCTTCATGGGTCCAATACGTGGTTCGAATGAGCTTATAAAGGGGTAATATTTCTGTTTACACAATGATTCCGTTAAGAAGATTGATGTTTACTAAATATTCCCTCATTTGCTTCATTTCATACAACACATACAGGAAGGAGAATCAGATGAAGCGGTAAGTGTACAACTCATTTATACTTTCCCAGCTAATGTGTACTCAATTATGGTTAACTGTTTCAATGTGATGTTACGCCTCGGGCTCAATACTTGGTAGACAAGTTTTCATAACCCATTAGTCATTTGGATAGCTTCTCTTTGCCCGTAAATATTGGTTCACTATAAAATTGTATACTGTCAAAATTTAGGGAACTCCACTTTATACTAAGTTTTAGTTTATTTCACCGACAAAACTCGTACTTAACCAAATATGAAATTCTTTCCAAAATTCGATTAAGGTGATTTTTTTCCATGTTGCAATATGCAGATATCAGTTGACCATTTGCAGAGGTTTCAATGTCGGTGAAAGACACAATTTTGTTTGCATTTTTATGTTTTAAATCAAATCCGTCTATTAGGAGTTGATTTTTTTCTAAGTGATTAATGGCTATGGGGCATTTTTATAAAAGAACATCAGGTCCCGAGAGCCATTCGGTTGATAGTCCTGTTCCCAGAGTCAAATATTCTGACGTCGAATATTGTCAGGCAGTAGCGTATCCCGGATTTTTTATTTTATAGGGGGGGGGGGACATTTTGACGTTGGTGGTGCCACTTACTCCCCTATTGCGCCACTCACACGTTAAACTACTCGAAAGTAGGCCACATACATATCATCAAGGTCAAACTGTGGGACCCCAAAAAACATGCTAAAAACAAAATGACAGCCTGGGGGGGGGGGGGGGGGCTTAAGTCCAAGAGCCTCCCTTGTGTGCGCCACTGTTGTCAGGCAAGGGAACCAGACATTCGACTGCCGTAACAATAGCTACGGCGTTTCAAGGAATGTCATTATGTAATCTCTTTTATTTACATATAGATTGCGATCCCGCCACCGCCAACGGTAAGTGTAGAATTCAATTTCTTTGTTATCTTCGGAGTTAAGCATTGTGCCACGGTTTCACCATATCTGGGGAATATGTTCTCATTAACAAAAACTATTTATTTAGATCTATGCATGAATTCCCTTTGCAGCAGATTTGCTCTTTGTCTGGACGTGACGCTGTTTGCTCGCTGTAAAATTCTCAATACTTTAGGGGAGCATGTACCAACTGACTCTGTTTTTTTTTTGGAGCAATTATTGAACGCATTTATGAATGACGATATCGCACAGTCGGCCTTGTAAACTAAAAATGTACCAAACAGAATGTGTTTACACGGCAACTGGATCGAGAGAAATGTCTTACAGTGATAAACACTGTCAAATTGCCTGGGTTTATTTCACACAAGGAAGGGTAAAAACTGCAACTACCCAAAATTGGGTTGTCCTTTACTCAATTGTTTGGGTTAGAATTTCTGTTAAATTCAACCAAAACTTGTGGTCATACCAGACTAAATTTAATGTGGTCGTTGGATAAAATTAACCTAGGCAATATTTCAGTGATGATTTATTGCTCACTTTTTATTTATTTATATATATTTATTAAGTACATTTCTTTACCCATGGGGACCAGCCATACATCACAAATTACATCATCAACGTACAATTACAATTACAAATACAATACCAAAAAATAAAATAAAAGCACATGAAATTAATGTATTTTCAAACTTTTATAATTAAACACAATCGAAAAACAGGCTTTACTCAGGTTTATGAACACAAAGAATAATATACTTTCGTGTGTATACGATCTCCTATAGTATTTCTTTTCAGTTACTAAACCCTTTAACTTTAAACTTGTGGATTTTTTTCGTTTCTTCTTACGTGTTAAAAATATATATAATTTTCTCGCGAAGTGGTTAAGCCAGATTCAGCTATGATTTTGTCGTTACATTTAAAAAAACCTGAAATCCGATAGCACATGTCCCCATTTTGTTGCATTTTAGAAAGCAATTGATTAAGAATACCATTGCAACAAATTAATGTTATTTTCTCACCTTTTCCCCCACTTTCCATACATATGAAGGGTGAACATCTGCAGCCGCCCCCATCGGTAGGTGTTGAATTCGAATTCTTCCTAAACTACGGAGTTCTCAGTTTGGTTCGCGGTTTCGCCTTAAATGAGGATATGCTCCTTATTATCAAAAGTATTCACAATTTCGGAATGCAGCACGATTTGCTGTACAGATATCAGTACTTTGGATTCTTTTGCAATTATTATTGAACGCGTTGGTGATTTGATATATTCATTGATCAATCAGCCTTAAACCTGCCACCCATACATTTGCATGCCTAACCAAACACGACATTTGTTCACAAAGAAAAGTGAAATCGGTTGAAGTTCTTTGTTTAAAATTCCAGCTGTGGCACAACATTTATAAATATTAACCTATCTCTTTCAAAGAAACGACCTATCTGCCCAGACACCATATCATAATTATGTAGAATATATAATCTCTTTTATAATTAAAGTTTAATTTCTTCTGGATTTTCAAGTTTCTTCCAGAAAAAAAATCCTTTTCCATCTTGCTTTTTTTGGCTTTACAATAGTTATTCAATTTGGAATTAGTCCTGAAAGAAACTGAAATTATAGCTGTTAGTCCATCCATACGTCGTGGGAATAAAATATTTGATAAAATATTGATGTTGTTCAGACATCTTCTTCAGCGGTTCAACCATTCCAAACGACCGCAGCCGCCAAACCAGCCCAACTACCTCCACCGACCTCACCGGCCTCAACAGCCACACCGGCCTCACAGGCAGCATCGGCCACACCAGCCATACCGGCTACACTAGCTCCACCGGTCGGTATGGGAAGGGTTAGTCATCATCATTTTACTCTGTTAAAAAAAACTGCTTGCTGTTATTTTGTTCTGTATCTCTTTTTATATTTGCTGTGTTTGACCAAACTGTACGAAAGCTGAAAATAACTGTATTTGAGAATATAAATATTAAGCTAGATTAAACGCAACTTTGATTAAGAATTCCAACAATCGTCATTCGAACGTTATCGAGACGAATACAAATCATTTTACAACTTTTTTCCTTTGCAAAACAAATATAATTTTCTACTTTTTGTGTGCTTGCAATTCGCATTCTTTGTAACCAGTTCTGAAGATTGAATCGCGGTTTCTCCTAACTTGGCAGATATGCTCTGATTAGCATAAATACTTGCGCAATTGCATATTGGAGTAGAATTGTTCTTTGTCTGGACGACGTGATTTGGTGTTAAATTTGATGTAAAATTGTCAATACTTTTGGGCGGCAAGTACCCACTGACCATGTACTTTGGAGAATTATTGATCGCGTTTATGTATGGCGATATTGCACAGTCGGCCTTAAACTTGTAACCAAAATATAAACATACTTAACCAAACACTACGTATTTACACAGATATATGGTTCAGTTACATTTCTTTCATTAAAATAAAGATCTCCTGTAGTACCAATTGTTATCAGCTAACAAAACTTGCTTACACAAATTCACTTTTTACTTACATTGCGATTTAACATGCTTAACAACCTGGTGCAATCATGGGAGTTTAAACCTCTAAAGAACCACAAACATAAGAAGACACATGCTTTAATGCTTAGGCTGGACAAATTTGAATCCAGAAATTCTACGGGGCCAAAACGATAATAAAATATAATCTATTGTCTTTAGACTTTCTATTTTTTTTTTTAAAATTCTAACACCTTTTCCAATTCTTTAATTACAGTGGGCATCGGGTTCGCTGCCTGTTTGGGTAAGTTAAAAACGTTTCGCCTTATCTGATGTTACTTTAAATTGCTAAAGGTCGTTTCATGGTTTCGCAAAAATTGGCGGACACGCTCTCACAGTCATAATAATTTCATGATGCGGCAGAATCCGGGTCAAAATTCGCTATACCCTTTTCGGGGTCCAGTTGAATTTGTCGTTGTATTCCAACTGTCTTCTCAGCCGACCCATTGAGGATGTTACATTTTCGGTGGAAAAAAAAATCATTGTGTTTAAGATAGAACTCACTTTTTTTTACCTTCGAATAGCAAAACCCAGTATACTGAATATATCTCATTGTTTTTCTTGCTACATTTATTTGGAATTTAACCTCAATTATAATGTTGGAATGTTAAAGAATGTGGGAAAGTTATAAGAATCATTGTTTTCTTCAAGTAACAAGTATGGTATTGTTTAATTCAAAATAATATCAAAGTTGCTTTTCACCTCAGAACTATCGTTTTTTTCTGGTTAGAAGAAAACAGAACAAACGGCAAAGAATTATTACAAATTTGTGGACTCTAAGATTTAATTAGATTCATCACAATTACAGACTGAGTGAAGTCCCACCAACATTCCAAAACTGGAGGTGTCATATTTTTAAATGACAGGAAAACGTTTACAGGTTTAGCTACTTCATACAAAAAATAATAAGAGGGAAGAAATGCGGAAATAGTATACTAAAGATATTTTGTTGGAAAATGTTAACGATCCATTTTCTTGTTCAAATAAACTGTCACTTGTTGTTCATTTCAATATAATCTCCGACTTGCTTTTTACTTAAAAACTAGCGTTTTTCTTTTGCCACCATTGATAACTTGTTTTGTTCACGGAAGCTTCGCTAGTTTACTGCGATTCAAAGCAACCACAGATTGACTTTAATCCCCGAATATTCAAAGGAATGTCGTCGGGTCGAAATATACGAAATTGCATAAATTTGACTTAATGTAATGCAGGACGAAACTCCACTTTAAACTCACAATATTACGTTTACCGGGAAAGGAACCTCTCATACCGAATTGGTTCAGTTACATTTTTTTGTTGATGTTGCAATTGTCTAGAGATCTCAGCCGACCAGTTTAAAGGGTTTGATGTTCGGTGAAAACAACTCACTGTGTAAAGGACACAAATCGCTTTAACAGATTCAACCACTGGATACAGTCGTAGTAATTTAACCTGAACCAGAAAAAAAAGGAAAAGAAGAAATATTAGGTTTGCATTTGTTTTAAAATCCCACTTCCTGCTTCCTTCCGGGACAAGTAAAACGTCATTCAAAATAATGTCCAGCTTGCTTTTAATTTCCTTCGCAGTCTTTGAACATTTGTTTTGTTCACGAAGAAGCTGAGACAGATACAGTGTAATTAACGTTTGATTCCGTTCGTTCAAAAGTCAATTTCAACAGTATTACCCGACGTTGGTGTTCTTTAGACACAGAATTGTACTACAATACTGTGTCAATTAATGTTTTAATTTTGTTTTAATCCCTTACAAGGTACGTTTCGTATGGAAAAAATAGCCTTCTTTGGTAACTTTGGTGTTCTTAAGTTTGGTTCCCGGTTTCGCTATTTATCAATAGCATTGTTCATATATGGTTTCAGAGGGCAGCAGATTTTCTGTATTGAATGACATGATCAGTACTTGTCACGGGCCAGTGAATGATATCTGAAGGATGTCGGATACACCTTTTGACTCTGTCTTTCGAGGGGTCTACGGTTACAAACAATTTTCAGTTATTTGGGTGGCATGGGTGGCTTGTGCATGAAGCGCTCGCCTCTCACCAAGGTGACCACGGTTCGAATCCTGGCCGCATATCACATATGAGTAGAGTTGTGCGTTGGTTCTCTTCTGTGCCACGACGCCCACAAGGGTTTTTCTCCGGGCCCTCCAGTTTTCCTCGCTCCGAAAAAAATCAAACAGTTTCGATCTCAGGCTGTGCTCCGTGGTCATATATGGGTCGATGTGGCCGGCAGCCATAGCCGCCATTACGTGTCAGCGGCCCGACCACAATGTAGCCGTGTCCTTCGCAATTTAGCATACCAGCTGCGAGTCAGGATGATTAACCTCCCAAATTATTATTATAAATATTATTATTTTATTATTAGAGTAATTAAATCAGAAGTTGAGTAAAACATTTTTTCCCAATCGACGCAACCCATTGCCTTTCTCGGTTCCTTAATCATACAGTTCTGGTAAAAGTAAAGACAGAACAAAAGGTACAGATGTGTTTATACAAATGAATAGACTCTCAGATTTATGACACTCAACGCAATCACAGACTGAGTGAAAGTCGCACCAACATTTCCAAACTGGTGGTGTTTTATTTTTACAGGAACACTTTACAGATTGAGTTATTTGATACAATCATGTTGGAATGTTTTAATGATGCATTTTATTCTTCACGTGAAAAAAAGTCTGCTTTTGTCCATTTCAAATTAATATCCAGTTTGCTTTTAACCTGCCATTTGTTTTGTTCACGGAGACTCATAACTGAGATTCAAAGCAACCACAGACTGAGTTTAAATCCCCAAACATTCAAACGAATGTCATTGGGTCCAAATAATCGAGATTGCCTGTTTGACATAATATGATGCAAAACCAAACTCTACTTTATACTTACAACGTTTAGTTCAACATAAAATGGAACCTCTCATACAAAACGAAAATGAAATAATAAGAAAAATAGGGCTCAGTTCAATTTGTGTTGATGTTGCAACTGTCTATAGAGCTCATCCGATCCGTTTAAAAGATTTGATTTTCGGTAAAAAAAATCACTTTGTAAAGGATACAACTCGATTTAATGTTTTACTGTCCAGTAGCAAAAGAATAATACCCAACCAAAATCCATACACTAAACCAAAAATTAGATATTTACAAACAAAGCGGGTTCAGCTGAATTTCCTACAAAAAAATTACATTTCCTGGTGAAACAGGTTTTTCTACCAATCATTGCTTTTGGGGAATCTTTTTGTTTTCGTAAATACAAGTGATTCATTACAAACTGGTGTATTTCATTTCACTGAAATGAAGACTTTACAGATTTATCCCCCAGACACAATCATGGTATTTAGCCTAAACCCCAAAAAAGGGAAATAATGAAAAATGGTGTTTCATTTTGTTTTCAAGTTCCATTTCCTTCTCAGTGGTAAAACTTTGTTACAAATGTATAGACTCTAAGATTTACTGAGATTCAGGGCAACCACAGACTTAGTGTAAGTCCCCGAAGTTAAAAGTATCGAGATCGTCTTGCTATTCCTGTTTTCTTTCAATGAAGAGTTTTCTGTCTGATTTGTATTCCTTCTTAAAAACAAGTAAAAAGTCTGCTGTTGTTCTTTTTTAGACCCTTTCATTTCAGTCCAGTTAAAATGATCAAATTGTATGACATTTTGTTTCATATTTCTTGAGTTTAGGCACACAATTTTATAATAGAATAATTCTCAATTAATGTTATTCTCATGTCTCTTTTTTCCCTCACTGCGCCTGGACGAAAACTTGCAGGGCTGGGTAAGTGTATACGATTCGCCTTCCATAACTTTGGAGTTTCTTAGTTTGCCTCGCTGTTTCGCCATATATGGCGGATTTTCTATCACTATAATAATATTAACACTAACAGCATTTACATGATTCCTGATTGCTGCAGTATCTTTTTCTATCTAGAAAGGACGCGGTAAATAATTGCAAAAATTTTGACGAGCTTCTCAGTGATATATTTTAGGATGTCCTCTTAACCTTGCAGTTAAGAACAATTATTAAACACATCAACTTGTAACCGAATCATATCCATGCTGCACCAAAACACAAAATATATACAGAAAAAAGGGTCTTTAGTTGAATTTCCTACGGTAACCAGAGATCCTTCGGTCAGGTATATCCTCAGTATATAACTGAATCGACATAAACGTCTTCATTAAACAAAGCAACAACACGCAGATTTTAACAAATGTCGTCGGGTCAAAATCATCAAGACTGTTTTGATGTTTTCTGTTTACACATTGATTCTGTTAAAAGAATGTTCTGTCTAGAGATCTCAGCCGATCCGTTTAAGAGGTTTTATCATCAA